CCAGGTGCCTGAGTGAAGTGAGCTTGATAGAGTTCAGGTGCATGTAATTGAGTAGGATCAAAACTCATGAGAATGTTGTAAACATCTTGACCACACCCTCTGTTTGCCTTGTGGAAATCTGGCTATAAAATAAAGGTACCGCTTGTGGGCACTGTCACTGTCTGTCCATCAGAAAAGTAGCATCCCACTGAGACCCCGCTTTCATTCTCTTGTCTGTCTTTTCTCAATCCTTCAGGCCCCCTCTCAGATTCAGCTTTGGCCATGCTGGCTCAGCACACCTCAACAAGGGGCAAGGAAGACTCTGGGTCCAAGGGCTGGATCCCCAAACGTATCCACTCTGTGCTGCTTCCCTGAAGAGGGTTTCAACCACTGCAGCCACTAGAGCAGGCCCTGCCCTCCCAGCTTCCTGGTGACTCAACCCAGCACAGCCTCGGTCCCACCTAGGTTCTGGGAGGTAAGGAGCAAGGGAGGGATTCAGCCCTGAGTGAGGGAGAGGCAGGTCCTAAATGAAGCTGGTGAAAGTGCTCCAAGTTTGGAAAGGCTGGGGCACTCATGTGTCAAATGGGGACGATTGCAGGATCCCTCCCCTGGGGTTTTCCTGGTGCCTCGGAGCCGTGGTAGTAAGCAGCAGGAATTGCTTCATCCTGGGCAGTTCTGTCTCCCTGACCTGTCCTTTCCTCTGGCCAGAGTGGCGGTCCTCCCTGCCAGGCCCTGTCCTGAGCGCTGCCGCCAGCGCCCTCTCCTCCCACAGCTCCCAGGTGTCTTGGGTTCGGGCTTCCGAATTCAGGAAATATAAACACAGTGCACTCCATTAAAGTTTGTTTCAGATATAACAAATAATTTAGTAGCCTAACTACACCCCATGCAGTATTTGAGATATGATTCCACTAAAAAAAATTTTTTTAAATAAATGTTGGGGACATAGTTATACTTTTTAAAAATGCAAGGTTTGCTGTACATATACTTAGACTAAAAATTATTATTGTATATCTGGAATTCCAACCTAACTGGGTGTCCTGCATTTTACCTTGCATTCCTCCTTGGGTGTATGTTGCCATGTAAGAGCAGGAATAGCTGATCTAGAAAGTCTAGAGCCTAGCAGGAAGGCCATCCGGGCCATCTCTGTCTTTCTGCTGTTCTCTGTTCATCAGTGTTCAGCCCCTTGGCTGCTCCAAGGCCCCCTATTCACAAGTGACACCACCAGGCACACGCAGAACCCGCCCATCTGTGACCCTGAGAATGGCTGGCTCAGCTTGGACTTAGGTGATGGGCTTAGTTGATAGCGTGGGCCAGAGGGCTTAGCCTTGGCCTCACTCTGGCTGGATGGTGGGAGCCGGCCACCAGAAGGCCAAAAGGGACAGCCACCCATACTCTTTGCGGGTCTCACCCACCTGGCAGCAGGAGGTGACTGCCCACAGCCTCCTTGGCAGTGGTCTCTGCCCCAGCCAGCGTGCAGCTGTCCATGGACCCACAGGGACACGCAGGAGTAGCAATCATGGAGGCCCAAGACCACAGCTGGGGTCTCCTGCCCCCACCTAAAGGCTGGGGAAGAGAGGTGTGCCCTGAACAGTTCCTGAGACTCTTCCACAAATAAGATACACTGTGCCACCCACTGTGTTTCACACTTCGTCTGTCCTCACAACAGCTCCAGAGCTGGGTCCGTGTCTACTCCCCCTAACCTTCTCTGTCCTCTTCCCACTGTCCTCTCCCCACTTTCATCCTATCTTATCCCTATCACAAGGCAATGACTTAGTGCTCCTCCCATTTCTGGCTACATCTGTGGCCGCACCAGGAGATATTGGGGAGCAGTGACTCCCTTTGCACTTGTCAGTCCCAAGAAAGGTAAGCACCTGTGAAAGGGGTCAAGAATCCCTTTATAGCCCTAACCGGTTTGGGTCAGTGGTAGAGCGTCGGTCTGTGGACTGAAAGGTCTCGGGTTCGAGTCCGGTCAAGGGCATGTACCTTGGTTGTGGGCACATCCCAGGTAGGGGGTGTGCAAGAGGCAGCTGGTCGATGATTCACTCTCATCGACGTTTCTAACTCTCTATCCCTCTCTTTTCCTCTCTGTGAAAAATCAATAAAATATATTTAAAAACAAAAAAACAAAAAAAAGAATCCATTTATAGCCCTAACCAGTAAGGCTCAGTGGATAGAGCATGTGCCTGCAGATTAAAGGGTCCCTGGTTCGATTCCAGTCAAGGGCATGTACTTGGGTTATACCTGGGTTGCAGGCACATCTCCAATAGGGTGTGTGCAGGAGGCAGCTGATTGATGTTTCTCTCTCAGTGATGTTTCTTATTCTCTCTCCCTTTCCCTTACTCTCTGTAATAAAAGAGTAAAAAAAAAAAAACAATCATATATTTTTTAAAAGAATCCTTTTATAACTGAAAACAGGTTTTCCTTTCAGCAAATCAAAGGCAAGACATTAATTATGCAACAGCAGGGCCCTGGAGCCAGGTGGAGCAGGAGAAGGTGGGATGCAAGGTGTTTCTCCCTCCCCCCCCCTCAAACCTCGCTCCCCCCCATAGGCAGAGAAGGGGTTCCTGCACAGCGAGCTCAGGTTCACCTGTCAGAATGTTTCTGATACATGCTCTAGGCACTGAGTGGCCAGACTATTATGATCTCTGAACACATAATAATCAGGCCACTGAGTGTATTTTTATCTCAGATGAATACCATAAGTTCTAGGCTTTTGCTGGAGATCAACCCCCTTTTTGCACTGAGATTTCTATCATCCAGTGCAAAGGGGAAAACTGATCAGGTGCACGAGTTATAGTGTGAAATAAATGAGGTACACTGAGTGGCCAGATTATTGTGCCTTCAGAGATCATCATAATCTAACCACTAAGTGTATATTTATGTGCTGTTATTACTGACACTTTGAGAGACACCTCTAAACACCCATAATTTTGAAGTCGTGATGTGCATATATTTCAAGATACCAGGACAACTGTAAATAATACAACAAAGCCTCAGGCCCTGTTGATGAGGTGAGGAAGGTCACGTTAATAATGGAAGGAAAAACAAAATTTCCAGTAGAAGGCGATGAAAATAAGGAGACAATTCTTTTCCTGGACCAAGTTCACGGGCTCTCTGAATTTCCAGCACAGTCTCCCAAGTTAAGACCACAAGGGGCTCTCAACCAGAATTTAAAATCAAAGTACAGAAAAATAAATGTGTCTGCTGCACCTCCCACTGAAGGAAGAGGATCGGTAGGAAATCTTTGCCTGGGTGTGTGGTTCTGGCCCAGGCTTTGCAGCCAGACCACCTCCGGTTGAGCCTCCTTTTCCGCCCGGCGCTGCTGTGTGGCTGGGCCCAGGCCCGGTGCTCTCTGTGCCTCGGGGTCCCCTTTTGCAGGAGGTGATGATGGAAGCTGTCCTCCCAGGGCTGTTGTGAGCAGGAGCTCAGGGGGGATGGGCACTTGGCAGGACTGTTGTTTGGCTGTGGAGGTTTGATAGACGTGTGTGTGTGTGTGTGTGTGTGTGTGTGTGTGTGTGTGTGTTCTGTGTCACAGCACAGAACGTGTTTCTTCCTGGGGGTCACGATTCAAAACATTTGGAGCAAGCCTCGTCCCTGGAGGACTCTGGGCCTTGGACCTCGGCTTGTGAAGGGAGACGTGAAGGATGTGCAAGGCCTGGGGTCTGCATTACCTCTCCGTTGCCCCTGTAACAACTCACCACGCTTCAGGAGCAGGGCCCTCGGCTAGCTCTGGCTCTCGCCTTTGCCCAGGTCGATCCCTCCCCTGGAATGACCTCTTCCCTTGCCTCCAACCGGCCCGTTCTCACGCGGCCTCCAGGATAGAGCTCTTCCCGGAAGGCTTCCCTGAAGCACATCCCCCCTCCCCACCTCTGGGAAGGGGCCCAGGTACCATGCCCTGCACAATCCCCTTCAACACAGATGCCACAGCCAACCGCCACCGTCTGCTCCAGTGACTGCCTCCACCCCCACGAGGGGCCTCTCCCCTGAACAGCTGGTCTCTTCTTCTTTACACCCAGGAGAGCCTGGCATGGGCGAGGGCTTGGCGAATATGTGCCCAGTGATTGAGTGAGTGAGTGAGTGAGTGAGTGAGTGGCTCCCCTGAGGCCAGTACACTCAGAGAAGCCTAGCCCTGACCGGGCCAGCAGAGTCCCGCCGGTTGGGCTCGGGGTGGCGAGCAGGGCTGGGGGGCATGGCTGGAGCTCAGAATCCTCTAAAATTGTGGAATCAGCCCAGGGTCGGTCCCGCACCCTCAGCAGAATTACTGGGGCCCGGTGTGTCAGACCCACCTCCTGTGTAATCCTGCAGCTCCGTTCGCTGAGCCCTAACCCGGAGGCCAGATTCCCCATGAGCTCAGAGGGCTTGGGGACCGCACCTGGGGACCGCACCGCACCTTGGGGACCGCACCAGACCCAGGACCGCACCTGGACGCACTGTTCCTGCAGCAGGAGCTTTATTTGGGGGATTCTGATTCAGCATCCGACTTGGCTATCCCAGGGCTGCCACCAGTCCAACAGCCTCAACAGGGTGACCCATGCCCCCATCTCTGGGGACCCAGGATACTCATTTTTTGTGACATTATTTAGTTTTTCTTTTTATTATTTTTTATTTAAAAAAATAAATATATATATATATATTTATTATTGACTTCTTACAGAGAGGAAGAGAGAGGTATAGAGAGTTAGAAATATTGATGTGAGAGAAACATCGAATATCTGCCTCCTGCACACCCCCTACTGGGAACGTGCCAAAACCAAGGCACATGCCCTTGACCGGAATCAAATGCAGGATTCTCAGTCTGCAGTCTGACACTCTATCCACTGAGCCAAACCAGTTTCAGCTAGTTGTTCTTTTTATAATTTTTTTTTATTAATTACAGAGAGAGAGAGAGAGAGAGGGAGAGAGAGATCGAGATCGATTTGTTGTTCCATTTATTTATGCATTCATTGGCTGATTCTTGTATATGCCCTGACGTGGGCCAGGCCGAGACCTTGCCGTATCAGCCAGTTTTTCTCTGTTTCTTATTAGGGGTTGGTGGGGGAGGTACAGTTTTAGGATAGTCCCACTTAAAACCGATGCCCCTGATGCCAAGGAGTTGGGTCCGGCCGAAGACTCCTGTGAGTATCTTGCCACGGTCGCTCGGGGAGGCGGTGAAGGTGTAGCCACTTTTTTTCCCGAATGGGACCCAGTGCCCCATGTTGGTAAACACAACCAGGTAGCGGATGTAGATCCCGTGTGAGCCGACAATCCCTACAATGTATTCATCTGGCCCCAGGAGGAATTCCGTGGAACGCCCACCTCGGAGGCCACATATTCTGCTCCACTTGGAGCCATATCTCAGCTGGACACTGGAAGAAAGGGGAGCTTTGAGCCTCATCTCGCCCACGTCCTCTATCCCTCACACACCCCTCCCCACAGCCACCAGCCAGGAGCACAGCCCTGTTCCTTCGACACAAGCCCTTGAGCCCAGGACTTGGGGATCCTGAGGCAGACAAGCCACTCTGCTACTTTTGAGTTCTGTGGTCTTGGGCTTGTTGGCCAGCATTTCGGGCCTCAGCGTTCCCCTTGTCAGCGTGGGGGTGGTTGTTGGGAGTTGGCACTGAGATCACCCATAAGGAGAGCTCTGTTAAATGCCGGGTCACCATGACCCTCTGGCGGCACCAGCTGTCACCCTTGCTCAGAGCAGGGAGCTGTTCCCCAGCCACGCTTGGCTTTTCTGAGTGATTCCAATCAATCCCAATAGGTCAGGTTGCAGGCCTGAGAAGCAAGTGACTTCTCACACCCCCCTGGGGGAATCCTACCAGCTTTGCTCATCTGAGTCTGTCTGTGTCCTTCTGCACACCTTCATGCCTGTCCAAGAGCCTCCTCCTCCACCGCTCCTGGCCCCATACTCTGTCCCTTTTGTTCCTGGCTGCCCTCCCCCATCCTCTCTCCCAGGTCCCCGGGACCCCTTCAGTGGAAAGCAAAGATTTCCCCCAGGTTTCAAGCAAGGACACCACCCTAACATTAGGGTAATGGGCCTGGGCTTTCTGCCTCAACGGGGTCTGGAGAATTGTGTTCAAGCAGTGGTCCACTCTGACCCTCACTTCCTTCCTCTTTGACCCTAACCTCCCCCCTCATGTTCCCATCAGGCATTCTCAGACTGAAAGGCTGCTTTTGGTTGAGTTGAGTTGAGTTTGGGGTGAAAGGAGCAAGGAGGGAGAAGCATTATTTATCCCTTTTTTGAGATCAACCCAAGAAGCAGTGTCTGCACTTGCAGGTGGAGACAGAGGGAAGTGTGATGGGTGTGCAGGAGAGGAGGTGGCTGAGGAAAAGGGACAAGATGAAAGACCAAGGCTGGTGGCTGTGTGACTCCAAACTGGCCTCGGGGAGTCCTCAGGAGCCCCGCGAAGGTGTTGGAGAAGACTTGCCAAACCCCCCTCCCCAAGATCCCAAGACTGTGGTACAAGTTAGGACAGAGATCGGACCCTGTGCCCTGCCCCTACTCACCTCCTAATTATGCCTATTGGACTTACAAACATCCGGATCCCAGATATGTCATTTGTATTGTCTCGATTGGAGCTGAAGTACGTGCCTTTTGCATTCCCATATATCTCTAGATGGACGAAAGAACCAGGTGAGGGAGGGAGAGAAAATGACAAGGTGACATATCGGTTATCTTTTTGCAGAACTGATGAAGCCCCTCCAGGTTGAGGGGACGGTCCTAAGACCAGAGTCAGTCCAGGGCTGACCTCAGGCCCAGGGGGTGGGCTGGAGGAAGGCAGACCCAGCCAGACTCACGATCTGCCCAGCAGGGGGTGCTCCACAGGACAGCGAGGGTCAGCCACAGCAGCATGGTTTCTCGCTCCTAAGACCCAAGGATCCTGGAAAGAAGGGAAGAGGCCACCAGGCGCTCAGACAGGGGCCCTGCTTGACCCTGTCGGCCCCATCCACAGGAGGGGAGCACCGCCCTACCTGGCCAGGAAAGTCTTGTCAGCCGGTCCTGGCACAGGGGAGTCTTGCACCTGGGCACCCTCCACCGGGCCTTTTATACCCCAGGCCGTGTGGGCCCCCATCCAGAAGGGAGGAGGAGTAGGGGACACCTTCAAGACAGATCGGTGGGGCTCTTCCTGGAGGAGGCTCCCGGACGGACGTATCGTGTTTGTTGTCTTGGCCCTGGAGTCTAGGCAAACAAAGTGGGACCGGGACGTGGATTGTGCTGTTACCTCTGAGCACCTGAACTAGACCTTGACTTCGGAGGTGTGGGGAGCTTGCTGACAGCCCTTTCCACGTTGGCTGGACAGGATTCAGCCCACAAGGGGTCACAGGGTGAATGTCTTTAGGAGGTTCGTGGGGCCCTGGGCTCCTGCCTTGTGCACAGTTGGGTTGAGGACCTCATTCAGGTCTGGGCAGAGTCCATGGTCCCTTGGGCTTTCAGGAGTCCGGATCAAGCTCCCATCCAGAGAGCCGGACAGGACAATCTTGTTCTGTGTGTCTGGTGCAAGGGGTTGGCCTCCCAAGGTCTGTCACTTGGAAGATGTCAGTGATCTTCCCTTGGTGCCAAGTCTGAGAATAGCCCTGGCACCGAGGGAAGATATTTATATGAATGAATCACATATTTAAATGAATCAGCCTTGACGGGTGTGGGGTGACGAACAGCCTAGGTGACATGACAAGAGGCACAGAGGATGGGAAAGAGGTGAGCCGCCAGGCCAGCTCTTCCGAGAGGGCCTGGAGCCAGGCCAAGGGCTCAGACTTCATCTGGAGGTAAGAGGGTCCTTCCCAGGGTTATGGGGATCCTGCTGCTGCAGCAGGACTAGGCTGTGTGTGAGAGCTGGAACAAGCCCCAACCTTTGGAAGAGCCATCTGGTCATAGTCATCAAGACTGGGGCTGAGACGCTGACCATGGTGGCTCAGGCGATTGGACATTGCCCTCTTCACCCAAAGGTTTGCTAGTTAGATTCCTCATCAGGACACAGGCCCAGGTTATGGGCTTAATCCCTGTGGGGACATCCAAGAGATAGTGATCGATGTTTCCCTCTCAAATTGATGTTTCTCTCACTCTCTGTCAATAAAAAAAAAAAATCTTTAAAAAGATAGGGGCTAATTGTGGGTATTGGTGCTGGAGCCAGATCATGTCCAAATCCCATCTTTTGTGCTGACTAGTCCTTGGGGATGGGGAGTGCACATCCCCTCCGTGTGCCTTGATTCACCTGATATGTGTGGCTGACAGTAGTACTGACTCCCAGGATGCTGTGACAATTCCACAAGATGCTTCTCCAGCTAAGAGCCTGGACACCGGAGACTTATGCCACCCAGGCAGGAGTACAAGGTTTTGCTTTGCAGCATCCTTTGAAATCACAGATTGGAAACAGCTGACATACGCATCTAGAGGCAAACCCATCAAATAAATGGTTGTAACCTCTGTGCAGGGAAATGGTACACAACGTGAGGGAGGAATAGAACGCTCCTGCTGCTCCGACACATTGCCCAGTGGCACCGGCCAGTGGAGAATTGAGGGTTTCGAATGTCCCCGTTTAGCTACACAGGAAGAGAGAATGGCTTTGTGTGGGCATGGGTAGACCTGCCAGGAACTGAGCTCTCTGCTTCCGTTGGGATGGCAATGCTGTGAGGACTGAGAGGTGGAGTGGAGGCCCTGTTCAGCCGACAACTTTATTACCTAGGTTCCTAGGCCCGGGGTCAACTACCACAGCCTGCAGCCAGACCTGCCCCTTCCTGTTTCCGCACAGCCTGTGAGCTTAGAACACTTTTCACATATTTAAATGATTTAAAAAAATTTTTTCAAAAAAATGCCGAAACCGGTTTGGCTCAGTGGTAGAGCATCGGTCTGCGGACTGAAAGGTCCAGGGTTCGATTCCGGTCAAGGGCATGTACCTTGGTTGCGGGCACATCCCCGGTAGGGGGTGTGCAAGAGGCAGCTGGTCGATGTTTCTCTCTCATCGATGTTTCTAGCTCTATATCTCTCTCTTCCTCTCTGTAAAAAATCAATAAAATATATTAAAAATTTTTTTCAAAAGAATAGCATTTTTAAAAATATATATATATGTGTGTGTGTGTGTGTGTGTGTATTTTATTAACTTTTTACAGAGAGGAAGGGAGAGGGATAGAGAGTAAGAAACACTGATGAAAGAGAAACATGGATCAGCTGCCTCCTACACTCCCCCTATTGGGGATGTGCCTGCCAGAGCCAGCCTGGCAGGTTGAACCGGGCTGAGTAGGGAGATGGGAATTGAGTAAAGAAAGAGACAGGAAAGAGGGATCGGAAGGACTACAGTTAGCCACTCACGGAACTTAGCAAGTTTACTAACTGTGCAATGCTTTTTATACACAAGACACTATTTAGGAGGTCTGTGAAGAGGAGTGTATTTCTTTGTTCCTCTTAATTTCTAAAGGAGAGATAGAGCCGAAGGAAAAATTCTTAGCACAATAAATCTTCAGTAGATAAATACAGACTTCTGGGCAAGACATGAAATGTTGCTCTCATACTACATAAATTACTTTCATTCTACTGATAATTGCTATCCAAACAAGTTAGGGAAAACTGTTTGGGTAGGGGGCCAGCCCTGCTAGCCCCCTCAGATGCAAGGACCTTGTCAGCTTATACCCTGTCTCCAACAGATCCCCCATTTTTGTTTTTTAGGCTACTACTAATAAAAGTAAAATATAAACAATAATAAAGCTCTAATACCGAAACCAAGGTACATGCCCTTCACCGGAAGGCCGACGCTCTATCCACTGAACCAAACAACCAAACTGGTCAGGGACAAAAGAATAGCATTTGGTGACATATGAATATGCCAGGAAATTCCCATGCCATCGCTGGGCAGTGAAGTGTTATGAGCATTCAGTCCCACCCACTGATTTGCATGTGGTCCTGGGCTGCTATCCACTACAGGCAGAGCTGAGTCCTAGTGACAGAGACTTTAAGGCTTAGGAAACCTAGAGATGCAGTCAAAGGGGAAGCCAGAGAGACTTGAAACCAGAGAAGGACTCCCTGCGCTATTGCTGGCTTTGAAGATGAGCAGGGCAGGGCGGGGGCGGGGGGCAGGGCTAGGGGTTCGACAACTGCAAGAGACTGAATTCTGCCGACAACCTGAATGAACATGGAAGTGGGTTCTTCCCGACTTGACCTGACACACCTTGACTTCAGCCCTGTGAGGCCACGTCACCCTGGTTGGACATCACAGAAACGGTGAGATAATAAATAATGTGTATTGTTCTAGCTGCTTAAAAAAAGAAAGAAAGAAAGAAAAAGACTGAGATGCCCGGCTGGCGTGGCTCAGTGGTTGAGCTCTGATCTATGAACCAGGAGGTCTTAGGGTTAGATTGCCAGTCAGGGCACATGCCTGGGTTGGGGGCTGGAACTCCAGTAGGGGACATGCAGGAGGCAGCCAATCAATGATCCTCTCTCATCATGGATGTTTCTATCTCTCTCTCCCTCTCCCTTCCTTTCTGAAACAAACAAACAAACAAACAAACAAATAAATAAATAAATAAATAAATAAATAAATAGACTTAGCCGAAACCGGTTTGACTCAATGGATAGAGCATTGGTCTGTGGACTGAAAGGTCCCGGATTCGATTCTGGTCAAGGGCATGTGCCTTGGTTGCGGGCACATCCCCAGTGTGGGGTGTGTAGGAGGCAGCTAATCAATGTTTCTCTCTCATCGATGTTTTAACTCTCTCTCCCTCTCCCTTCCTCTCTGTAAAAAAATGAATACAATATATATTTTTTTAAAAAGACTCTATAGAGGATCACATGATCTAACTTTAGAAGAAGGAGACAAAACCATAAAGGTTGGGAGGCCTGGTCTGGGTGTGTGCTCCATCAGTGGGCTTATTGAAAGTCCTCGGACAGGGCAGCAGAACAAATCTTTTAAGCAGGGAATCTAAAGAGAGCTTCAGCCAATTCACCCAAAGGAGGAAAGGACAGGGCTTGTCTCAAACATGCTCGGTGGCTGGCCTTCAGCTCTGGGCAGATGACCTTTGGGGATTATCCCAGGCAGGACCCTCACGTGCCCAGGGCTCTACAAACACCCCTTGGCGGTGTACCATTCTTTGCCTTGGTTGGTCAATGTGACTGTTCTCCTTAACCTTCATAGGCTCTTCTTATGTCCCATGGGCCTCATCTCTGCTGTGGGGCTCACTTCTTTGAGGCACCTGTGGATAGGAACACAAACACTGAGGACCCCTCCAGGACACCCTAAATAAAATCAATCCTGCTCAGGGCAGAGCATTTGAGGTCCCACTGGTAGTGCATGTGACGGGATGGTGACTGAGCACAAAGGCAATGGCTGAAAGACTCAGGCCACACGGAGCAGGTAGGAGAGGGGCTGGGGGCTGGAAGGGAAGGGGAGGCAGAAGTTGACCTGCCTAGAGACTGAATAAGGGAGCAGGGGGGTTAGCAGGGTCCTTGGAAAACAGAGTTTCTCTTCCAGGGCTGGCTGCATACTTTATGTGTGTGTATGGGGGGGGGAGGGGGAGACTGCTGTAAAATGAACATGTGAGCTAAAACTGGTTTGGCTCAGTGGTAGAGCATCGGTTCTGCGGACTGAAAGGTCCCAGGTTCGATTCCGGTCAAGGACATGTACATTAGTTGCGGGCACTTTCCTGGCAGGGGGTGTGCAGGAGGCAGCTGGTCAATGTTTCTCTCTCATCAATGTTTCTAGCTCTCTTTCCCTTCTTCTCTGTAAAAAAATCAATAAAATATATTATTTTAAAAAGAAAAGAAAATAGGATTAAAAAAAAATGAACATGTGAGACCCTGCCCAGGCCAGGTAATCAGTTGGTTGGCGTATCATCCCATTGCAGCCAGATTGTGGGTTCGATCCCTGGTCAGGGCACATGCAGGAATCAATGGGTAGAACAGCAGGTCGGCCTCTCTCTCTCTCTCTCTCTCTCTCTCTCTCTCTCTCAATCGATCAATAAAAATTAGGAAAAAAGTGTGAAGCCCCTTGATCAAAACTTACTATGACTTTCAGGACAGTGACAAGGTGGGGCTGATCTGAGCCATTGGGCAGGTAGCACAGCCATGCAACAGCCCTGGACTCCATCT